TAGTACTCGTGGATCACCGACGAGTGGTTGGTCACCTCGTTGCCCGTCGCCCACCACCCTGATGCACAACTTTATGTTACATTTATAAAACACACATCATTCTATAACAATATCCTTGACACATGTGGTGAATGATATTGTATAGAATGAACACATGTACATAAAAATACTTGAAAACACCAAAAGAATTATTAAGATATTTAAAAATAAGTTATGACGCGTAAAATTTCACTCAGTTTTTTTTTTCAGAAGTATTTTAGAATTCTTTAACCCTATGTTCACTGTCTTGTGCAAATGTAGTATACTTAGTGAATACACAGTGCAGAGTCGCACAGAACTATCTCAATCTTGAGAGATAGTCAGACATACTGGGGAAGAAAACAAATTCAATGACAACTTATTCCTAAAAATCGGTTCAGTTGTTTAGGCTCTATGCAGTTGTAATGGAATTTACCTCCTTACAAACAAACCAATCTACCTAAAAGTATAATGTATCTTAATATTTACTGATGGTGAACACTTAAAATAAACCAAAAGCACATTACTTTTTGTACTTCTACTACTATCAATGACTTTTTTAATTGTAATAAATAATAGGTATGCTGTTGGTTTGATGTCTTAATAAATAATTAAATAAACTAGTTCCTATGGTGTTGCAGATGTACATGGGTGTCATGATGTTCACGCCGCTCATTTGCCCCTTCTCTTATAAAAAAAAAAAACAGTAAATCTACGGCTTTACCAGTCAACCTTAGGAGATAAGGTTTTTGTAGTAACTAATATAAAAATATATATGAAACAAATGTTTATACCATCCACCCCAAATGTCAGTAAAACTTACCAACTATGTTTTCCGAGGCATTGACCCGTCGGTTGAGCTCGTAAACGTCCATGGCGTAGTTAAGCTCGGCTTCCACCTGGTCTGCGTGTTCCTTGTGCGGCACGCAGAAACAGTTCGTCACTTCCACCACACCTTTGTCCGATGTGCCTTAAAACATGTCACTTTCCTTTACCACAAACATGATATGTTACTTAAAGTATAAATGCATGAATGCATTGAGAATTCGTAAACATTTCACAATTTTATCTAATTGTTTATGAAAACCAAATCCTACAGGTTAGTGCCATGACGGGTACTAGTAACAAAAATTCTTGTAATCAGAATGTTGGCTACATAAAACATTTCTTACCCAGCAAAGTGCCAATAACTCGATGTGAATCCGCATTTCTTCGCTCATATGCATCCACAATTTGAAATAAAACAACGGGATGTATCTTGACAACTAAGTTTAACGCCATTTTGGTTTTAAAGAAAGAAAAAAACTGCAGAGCAGACCAAAGAGTATACAACTTTGCAGATAGCAAATCTAGGATCAATCACAGATTTGTATAAATGGATAGGACTTGAAACCAACAGCTTTCGCTTCGATACGATTTTTACGCAGTTCTTGACGTAACCGTAAGCTAATTTTATAACATCATTGTACGTAGTACTTATTACTTCCATGATTTATTCTATCTCTATCATCAATAATCTAAAATCATCTAAAACCTCTATTCAAATCCTTATCACCCCTATATAGCAACCAATATCGTCAACGCCAAAATGGCGAAAATCAACTAGGCGCAAAATATCACGTTTTATAGGCTAACCTTTAAGACGTTAATGAGAATGAACATGAATCTTACTTTTCTTATAAATGCGAAAGTGTAGAAGGATATATGTTTGTTAGAGTTTATCTCCCAAACGGCTAAACAGATGTCGATGAACGGCATATATGTAGAGAAGAGTTACTTACTTTAGTTTTTTAAACTCCCTGGCGACGAAATCGTGGACGAAAGCTAGCTAGCTAGAATCTGATTACGTAAAACTATAGTTAGTATCTATATTTCGAGCTGTAGATGCATTCCGGTTTCGGAGCTCGATTTTTAATTTAGATACAGTTATTATTAAAAACATTTTTACTTAAAAATTACGAAATCGTTAAATAAAAACAAACTGATTAAAAACAAAAACACAAAAAACTTCCCTCTTTATAATATTAATTTTAATCAAAGTGAAAACAGTGTCACAAGCTAGATCCCTAAATCGGGGTAAAAGAAAACTAATGATTTAATTTAGTTTTAAAACATTTATTTAAAACGATGACTAATATCGTTTATTAATTTTATTCAGGAGATGTAGGCGGCGTGGTGTGAATACGTATTCCGTGCATTTCTGCTATCTCATCCTTCAGGGACTCGGTGACTAAACGATGCTGCTTCACGCGAGACAATCCCGCAAATTCTTTGGCTTCCACACTCACCTGTATAAAGTAACACGGTACTTAAAATATTTAAAATATTAATATAGAAAGAATGAACTAGATGGGAAATTCAACCAGGGAGAAGCGTGTAGTATAATATTTATCAAAAGCATAAATGATGATCAGTAATTGTATGTAAAAGTCCGTCCGTACTCCGTACAATAAAAATGCACTAGCGCCCCCGCTACCCGTCCAACTCAAATATCTATGTCCAGCCGTAAACAGGGACAGGCTGATGACGCTAGGGTTTGCGACACACTTGCTACATTATTAATTATTGCTATTATGTAAATTACTTCAAACATGGCGCCGCAACCGCCAGAGATGTCCTCGACGCTGAGATAGGTGATGCCTGGCAGAGCGCGTCGCAGAGCAGCAGCCAGTTGCTGCTCCTTACCCACGGCGCTCCCGTCACCCACGCCGCCCACACCACCCACCGCTCTTATCTACTTTTACAATATCATATTATATAGAATGTTCAAAATGGAGTACTAAGAACTACAAAATCTGGATGTGGCAATGCATTGCTACAAGAACTAGACAAAAAAAAGAAACAAAAGATAATGTGTTTTTGAACATAAATACAAAACAAAGTTATTGAGGTAGGAAACTGGCTGCTGACACAATTTTAACTGTGGTAGAACCAGCATTAACATCTTTTCTTGAGTGGGCCAGCTCATCCAGTGTAAAACCACGACCACACAGAAGACAGGGGTAAAGTGGGAGCAATTCGGCGTATCATCTGATGAGTGTGGGCCTGAGGCTCAACTTTGGTCCCTTTTTCTTCACACCATTTTTCTTGTAAAAAATGGATGGGAAGTGAACATGGATCTGTCACTTGAGGAGACGCATAGGAAGGGGTCAACGTCAATTAAGGGTAGCCAATGCATCTGCGATTGCGAATGTCTATGGGCAGCGGTTGCTTCATAATTTTAGCAGATTCTGGTGGCTTGCTCATTGCCACCTTATGCTATATAAAAAAAAATTAAATAGCAGTGGACAGTTTATTTACAGACATACATATACTTTCTACTATAGATAAGTCAATGTAAGGAGTCTACAAACCCACAGTGTAAATTAAATATATGCCTAAATTTGACATAATAGAGTTTCAAGAAAATAGAATGATAATAAAGATCACCAGAACTTTAAAGTTAGTTCTGGTGATATTTCTGTAAGGTTTAGTTATACTTCCAATTTATTGGGATCTGAATTCTATTTAAATGTGAAACTTCTGTTGCTGGCAACTAAACTACTAACTAAACTTGGTATAATGTGCCGGTAACCCTAGATTATTTATTGTTCACAAACCACATGCACACTGAACTATGCTCCTGATATCCACTTAGCAATTAAATTTTATATTTAAGTACTGTGGGAATTATATAAAATGACAGCTTAGTAACCTAAATATAAAATCACATACATCTTTAATAATACATTTGTGCTGCAACTATCATTTTTCATAACCTGTGTGTTAATTTATTACTATAAGACACAGTAGGTAATAAAATAATTTCTTACTTTAGTACTAATGAAAGGTCGCAATGTTCTTAAAAACGTCCGCAGCATTTTCTGTTCTATTTTAAAAAAAATATTGAACGTAAAAATTGCAACATTTTACACAACAAACCGCTTTTGAAATGAAGTGTTTTTCATGTATTTTGTATTTATGTAACTATCATAACTACATAACCTAAAACTTGAATGTTACTTAAAAACCTAAAAGTTTCATAGCCTGACAGTTGATCAGCTGTTCAACTGTCAGATGTCAAATAAATTATTTTATTTAATTATTATAACATTGACAATAATAATTGAGCTTAATAGTATATTTTTTGAAAGAATACCACTAAAATACTCAATTAATATTGTATGGTATTGTAATATTAGATTATAAGTCAGTAAAACGTTGAGGAAACCGAGCAAAGATCCTCTTTTACACATTTTAGTTCTAAACGAACTTAAGTACATAACTACTCTTTGATCGAGAATCGAGATCGGGATAATCATTCAAACTGTCAACTGTCAAACTGTCAAAATCAAAACTTTCAAAACACGTGTTTTTTAAAATGAAATGAGGTGTTTGTTAGTCTTAGATTTAAGTGAACTGCAGTTAACTAACAATTTTGTATTGTGTTATGGTGATGCTTATTTGTATTAACAATGCCGCCATATAAAACTGGTTTACTGAAACGAAAAATATCCGATAATACCGATAAAACTGAGGATAACGTAGGAACATTATGTTTATCATTGTTATTATAGTTTTAAGCCAGGCGTGTAATAAGAGTTTTCATATTTCAGGGCACTAATAGTAGTTGTGATGATAACAATTTAATTTGTGGTGACTTGGACAAAGACCCGGATTCGTCGGACTCTGACAACGAGGATGATCGTGTTGCCTCGGACACCGAACTAGATGTAAGTATTAAATCAACGTTAAAAGTTAGAATCAATATTTTACCGATTTAAATTTAGTCCTTAATAATTATTACAAAATATTCTTTTAAGAAACCAAGTACAGAAAATACAGGATCACCCTCTAAAGAATAGATATATTTTTATTGCTTGATAACTTGTTTGACAATGTATATCACTGCAAGTACTTCTACTGTAAAAATAATATGTTTTAGGGAGTAGTGTTTGATAGTGGCGACTCTCTTCTGAGTGATGATGCCGCTACTGAGTCTCTAGATGAATCATCGGTGAGTTGTGTTACTCTTATTTTTAAAAGTGAATAAAATATAATATATAGATGCTCTGTGCCCTTTTTAAAAAATAGCTTTCTTGATGGCAAGTGACCTTTGCCTATCTTGTTCAAACCACTATGTATTTATAGTAGAAAATTATGTTTAGGAAACAAAGATTTATTTCCTTTTCCTATTGTTTCACATTCAGCTACCAATGTCAGACATATATGCTGTATGAAGAACACAGACAACAATTGTTCTGGCACTGTCAATATTTAAATGCACAAATCACAATGAAGGTCTTTGCTATTTCTAAACAATTACCATTGCAATTTCGCTTCTCTGTGGCTATTGGCTTGTATTTGTCTCTTTTCCGCATGACAGTTTTATTTACTCTCTAAGTTTGATAGTGTGTAAATATGAAGACTATAGTGTGTCATGTATAAATACCCCTAATTTATCAAAAAATAATTATTTAAAGGTGTGCTGTGATTTTGTACATCCTACTTAATTAAATAGTGTGTGTGAGAACTTTATTATATTAGTATATCTAGATAGATTTCGATATTAGTCACATGTCACATACCAGTTTCATTTCTGGATAGCTACTTTATTGTTATAATATTGATTAACAGGATGTTACTGATTCAGAAGAAGATGATGCATCCGATGGCAGCAACGAGGAGACTGATGATGGAAACAGTGACAGCAACACAGGCGTAAGAAGCCAAGAAGATGTTAAGTCAAATGCAAACACAAGTAAAATTAAATTAAAGCCTGACAATGAAGACAGCGGCGCAGAGTCTGGCAGCGGGATGGTCTCCCGGCCCAGCACTGTACAGCGACACAGCACCAACAATAAGACATTTAAAAAGAAACTATTTAAACAGAAACCCACAAAATCCTTAGAAGATAAAAAAACAAATAGTAGCATAGATGCTTTGGAGCAACAAATTAAGGAAGTACAGGTTAATATACAGCCGGTGCAGGAAAAAGGTACTTTTGTTAACATTTTATCATGCTTTCATAGTTTTATCAGGTCAATAAGGACAAATCCAGTCATCTACTTCTGATGTCGGAA